GTTTTCATCCCCATCCTCGCAGCTCACTACCTGGATCATCGAGGTGGTACTACATGGATCACGCCCTGGTCAATACATGTCAAAACCAAGGGCCCTCTCACGGCTGGTACTTAGTAAGCCAACATCTTTGCCTTTACGGGGAGGCATGCCCCATGGCCTTGCATTGACATGCCACGTCTGTATAAATAAGGAGTAGGCGCACATTTGCCGGCTTGCTCCGGAAAAAAATTGGGAGCCCCCCGCCAACCAAGGGTCAAATGGTGGTGAGCCAAAAGTCAACATTTGATCGCAAACGCTTAAGTGTTGGCATTGAACGATGATACTCCGTACACAAAAGCTCGAAAAACAAAAAGAAGAAACGAACAACCCACTTTGCAAAAAAAATGCATGATCACTCTTTATCCGACCCCTGAGTGAGATGTATGGTAGGGACACTTGAGATGAACCTGGCAATATATATATATATATGCAAGCTACCACGAATGATTAAACATACAACAGCACATCTTGAAAAAGACGGTCAGGATCACAATATGTCACAACCGATGGCACCGCACCGGTGCCCACACTTTGTGTTCCACAAGCCGGGTGACAGCACTTGGCACAGAAATGGGCCAAGTTTGCCTCCAGATTTCGGGCTTCGTTGCTGCTAAAAGCAAGGGCGCGGAAAAAAGGCAAGGTGTGAAATCCAGCCTCCCACCGATTGGAACATTGCAAAAACTGCAAAAGAACTCAGGGTTTTGGATTAGAAGCAGCCAGGTCGGGGCACCCGACATGCAGGTCTACAGACGGTCTTTGGAATTGATCGGTGACTTGGACCCGGATCCACCAAGGTGACTTTCTCTCCCATTTGGCCCGGTCGGTTCACCTTTGACCTCATGTGAGGATTGGTCTCACTGCCGCGGCAGTAATGCAAAAAATGCAACAAAATCAGTTGGCCAAACAAAATTAAACAACAGGATGTTTTAGCACATATACAAAAATTGAAGAATTAGTGTTCTTCAATCAAAGTGAGGGGTCAGCTTCATGTAGAGGATTTCCTTGGTAGCGTTGATCGCGGATCCCTCCCAAAAGGTGTTTGCACAGTCTTCTCGCGTCGTCGCTTCTCTTCTCGATTCTCACTACTTTGGGGATGGCTGCGCCAAGAGTACTTCTATGGGAGCCCATCGTTTTTCATCCTGTCAATGACCCCCGTGAAGGAGGATCATGTGATCGTTTCCTGATGGATTTTCTGTGACCTTCCAGTTGATCATTGGATTATTGAGTTATGTTGAATTAGAGCTTCTGAAACATGCCAGTCACCCAGTCGCCCTGCAGTCATCCCCTCGTTGTGAGACATCACTCCACGGCGCGAGCGGAGTTCCCAGTTCCGACGTCGCTCCCGTTCGCCATCGGCGGAGGTGTTCCGACCGATGTCCAGGCCTCGAGTCCCTGATGCAAACCTTCGCGCACATCGGCCACGGGCACGCCCGGCACCCCTGGAGACCCGCATGGCGCGTTCAGGGGCGGGGCGTACGGTCCGCGCACGTGACCGGGGGCTCAAAGGCGTGGGCCGGCGTGGGGTGCAAGAGAACAACCACCGGAAGAGGGACCAGTACGACTCAAATCCAGTAACCAGTGTGTGACTGCAACCATTTTTGGGGGCCACACATGTTGATTATTCTTGGGCTATTACTGGGTGTAGGTTTCACTGCACATCATCCCAAACCAAGATGTCCGCTTTCCAAGATCATGAGAAATAATCAGAGAAGAATGAGGGGCAGCTTGCTTGTGTATCTTTTCTTGATGCGGACTGGTGCAACTGCTGTCATCGGTTCCTGCCTGAAAACTATCCAACAAGTTATCCTTCGAATCGGTATCAAAGTGTGGTTTCCTTGGGGGCACACAGGTTAGAAAGGACCACCCCGGCCACAAGCGCTCCTGCAAGTGTGCAAGTGAATCACATCTCTCTCGATCGTCATGTGAATGAGCTTGGCGCAAGCTCAATGGAACTGAGTCCGTCGCTGTCAATCTATTCACTTTGCATTCAAAGCCAAAGCCGAAGAAGGTTCCTCACTTGACTTTCACGTCCACCCGTGTGCCTTTCTTGAAAACCCTGGAAACCATGAATCACTGTCTGCATGGAATGAATAGGAGAATCCGTCAACGTCCATCCATGTGCCATTCACCTACTTTCATCTGTTTTCATCACCCCCCGCGGCTGGGCACGCGTCGTCCTCGGTCCGATGGACCTGGACCCCCCCCCCCCCGCGCCTGCGAGGCATTTCATCACGCGAAAGCAGAAATCACAAGCGTCGTGACTGGTGAAGTTCACCACGGCCAGTTGCTTCCAAGGCAAATGAATGAAGTTGTACGGACGCTGGTCGGCAGGATAGCCACACAGGCCTCACGCCGACACACCGATCGAGCTCCGGTAAACGCCCTCCAGCCGGGGCGAGCTGCGATGGTTTTTTGCCCGCCGCGATGGTTCACCAAAATATGGAGAGGTCAACTGATCTGTGGTTTGTGATCCAACACCTACTTAAACACTGATGGGCTTGCCTATTGATCCTATTACAATCTTATTTTCCAACATGTTTATTTCTCATCCTTCCTGACTCCCATCCTCAAAAGAGTCATGTCGTCGTCGCTTCTTTCGCTTGGGATTCCGGCGTCACCGACGTCCAAGAAGCCACCAACTGCAGCTGAGCTACGGTGCAAGGCCACCACGAAGTCTTCTTGTGAAAGCCTTAGCTCTCATGGGCATGTGTTTTTGTCGGCCTTCCGGAACGTGATGAAGCATCTGTGCCCCAAGTTATACTGCTGGAATCTCCCGGACTTGTTTCGTTTAAAAAGAAACACGTGGTTCCCGCCTCCGAGCAGGACCCCGGGCCCCAGGCCCCGAAGAGTGGAAGAAATTATCGCAGCCCACAGTAAGGAAAGGATACTAAGTAACGGGGGTGTCAAACATGCACGTACATGGTGCAACGTGGTGCTCTGCACGTTGGGATTTCCCAGTTGGCAGTCTGAGTGTCGAGGACCTGACTGTCTGTAGTAAGATCTGCTATAAGGTCCTCGAGCTGAAGCTGAAATGACTCACCATAATTAGATATAATTAGGTGTTTTCCCTCCTATAGCGTTGCTCTAGCCAATCATTGAGGCTACATGTGCTGCTTCACTTCAACTGACTTATATCAACTGACTTGTAATGGGAACATTGATGCCAACATGTTGTGCCTCCTTCATGGCCCAACCGTCATGGCCACTTCTCCTTGGGTTGCGGGCTCAAACAAAAACCAAGCGACTTGGCTGAGAGTTTGAAGAGGATGGACGTAGCCAAAGGCGAGAGCTGGCACTCTTCCGTCTGGGTGTGCACCATCGTGGCGAAAGCACTCAAACACAGAGAGAACCCCAGGCAGTTTTGAGCAAGAATGGCTTCTAAACCAAGGACACCTTCGATCTCGGTGCTCAGGGTCTACCGAGTCTACTTGGGTGGGTTTCGCCGTCCCTTTTTTTGTGCCGACGTGGTCTCAAGCCACATGTGGGCCGGTGACCTCTACCTGGGGGGCAAAACAACATATCTATATATATATAAGATTCTCAGTGTGCAACAGGGTAGGCGTCAGATTCAGAGCACAATACCGCACCCAACATTATCAGAACATGTTGCCCTCCCGGACTTGGATGCTTCTTGAGGTGTTCTCCAAAATGGTCCAAAGGGCTTGCTTCGTTGCGTAGCTGCGCATTCCCTCCCTCTCCCCTCCCCGCCGTCTCCGCTCCGCCCCCATCGGACGCTCCATCTACACCGGGACGGCGGTTTTAGTCTAGATATGCCACTTCACCGTGTCGAAACGTGCGGGGAACCAAGGATGCTCAACAGGTCCCGGAGAAAAAAGCAGCAGCTGTGTATGCATGTCACTTTGTCAGGGTGCTTTCTAGCTCCCGATGTCCTCTCACTGCTCCTCACTTCTTTGGTTCTTGTATGTTCTTGTGCTTGACCTATCGTGTCTGCCCATCTCGTCTACCACTTCTGGCTTTGTGTTCCTAATGTTCCCGTGCTTTTCCTGAGCCCTACAGCTTCTCAGCTTTCGTCTGATTCACTTGCACACCAACAACCGCAAGGGCTCAGAACAGCCTTACACAGAACCATGTGTCAAGTGGCGTCCGTTTCACCTACCGTGGCTCCTGTGCAATCAAGCTGCATGTGCTTGATGGGCGATTCGGATCTTCAATCTACTGATCTGCCCCGTTTACCCCATCCCTTGGGTACAGTATGTATTATGTGGAGTCATGAGAGCATACATGCGTCAGTAAAATAAGAGTATAAATGAGTCAGTAAAATGAGATTATTATAGATTCTTCACAGGCCAGTAACTAAATTCTTGAAATTTCTTGAAACTTTGCAGGTCACCAAGGAATTTTCACCCACACAACTCCTACACCTACCACAGCACTGGCCTCTGCACTTGTGGCCGCAGCACTGGCCGCTGGCTTTGGACCTGGCAGCGGGACTTAAAAATGAGTCTCAAAGGAGAGCAGTCAAAATCTTGCCCTCAAAAGGCTACACTTGTTGGTTTCCCACTTTTTCTATGGGCCCTGAAGTTCGAGGCCCAAGTCTGCTTCCGCCCGATACCAGGTGTCCCTGAGATACCAGGTGTCCCCGGGAGGGATCAAGATCGATTTCAGGAAGGGCTGAGCCTGTGTATTTCGATCGGTTGAGCTTTCTGCTATGTCTCAGTTGGTCCAGCACCTGAACCTCCCATCTTTGGAAGAATGCACACAAAGCTTCTCCGGGATCGAGTTAGGAGTCTGCAACTTTGAGTTGACAAAGGCAGAACACCTTTCAGTCACGCTCAGTTCACAGTCTTCCACCCAACTACGCCCTGGAAAACCCCAAGCCCCAAAGAGGCAAACAATAGCAAAGCCTCAGCCTTGCTTAGCCTGAGTGGCCAAGCCCAGTCCATGAAACAAGCGGAGTCAAGCACTGCCTGGGGCGCTCCGCGCACCTCATCCTCCAGAAGTCACTCCAATGCCTCATCCGTGCCCTCGAAGCCCAGGGCATCACTGGGCACCCCACACCTTGCTGCGCCCGCGCGCCAAACGGCCGCTAAAGGCACCCCCCCCGTGCAGCCGTTTGCAGCTGTTGGGTTCAGCACGTGGTCTTTTTGCCCAGCTCAATGGGTGTGGTGAACCGTCTCTTGAAGGATGTACAACCCAGGCCCTAAGACCTGGGGAACAACAAGTCAGCCGCCAAATCCGGCGAATCCGTTCACAGTTGATTTGTCGACCCTGGACACCCCTAGACAATCCTAGACATGGAGATGTTTGACTGGTGGTGCCACTCATCAAACACACCTACACCTACTGCACCAGATGACCCCCTCACATCCCCTCACCCCGCCCACCATCTCCAGCGCCATGGCACTTCCGAGCGCTCAGCCTCCAGAGCCACTGCGCGACCCGCGCGACCCGCGCAGCCGCGCCTGCGACGCGTCTAGACCCGTTGACCGCTTGGAAGGTCGGGAGGTCTGGGCGGTTTGGAGTTGACCGTCGACATCAGGAAGACACCTGGTTTCTTATGGAAGAAGTTGGTGGAGCGAAGTGATGTTACGATGCTTCGAGGTTCCTATAGAGATCACCCGTACGCAGTGGATGGCAAACATGTGCTTCAAGGTGGCCCCACCTTGAGAAAGGCCACCGGGGAAAACGTTCTCTCCACCCAGCAAGGCTACCTGGCGCAGCATGCTTAGGCTTCTTGTGGCTGTTAGAGAGTGTTGTCAGGTGGTTGGACTTGCAAGAGAAACAGCATTTCATATCATTTCAGAGGCTTTTGGTACACATACCAGTAAGAAGCTCATTGATATGCATGTTTCGACCAAATAATAATTCCCCTCCTTGGCTTCTGGCCGGCGTTCGACCAGGGAGCCACTCTCACCTCGAATTGTGCGGGTAGCGAGCTTGAGTGCCGGTGACACCTGTGTGACTGTGAACTACACCAGAAACACAGGGTCAAGGTCAAGGCAGCTGAACTAGTTCAAGCTCATCTTTCAGTGGTGCAACAGGTGCAAGTAGTGTCCCAGCTACTGTCAGCAGGTGTCCTTGCCAAAATCCGTGAAAGGGCAAATCCATGCAAATCCTATAGATCTCTTCGTCAAATTTGCTCAGCGATGTCTCAGCGATGTCCAACTACGCCGCAGGCCCCGACCCCCGACCTACGCGGTTGCCGTCGGCAGTGACAGACCTCGAGTGGCTGGGCCACAGGCGTCGTGGCATCTGCAGGACAAGGACCTCTTGGAGGGTTGGAAGTTGGAAAACTGTTTGTTCAAAAAAGGTCGTCCACTTCCATCCTTGCTGGCGGCTGCTTGCCTTGGGTGGTGCGCTCTTCTATCGCATACCACAAGCAAGTGAGTATAGCGAGTACCCACACCCCATGGCTCACAACCCTCTCCTGTGCACAACCCTCGCGCCCTCGCCATTTCTCAGTACACAGTGCCATGGGCAAAGGAGCAAGTTCGTGGCACGTCGTGCACTGGATTCTCGAGAGATAGCTCAGAATGGCATGGTAGAATGAAGGTCTCACTTAGATGTCTGACCCGGTGCACTCTCAGTAAGCAAGAACCAACCATGGCAAAATAACTTTCTGGCAAACACAGTGTGCAGTATCTTTGACTACCCTCAGTTCCACCCAAAAAGGGCTTCGCAACTTCACCTTTTGGTTCTTTATGTTTCAAACACTGGCCTGACTTCCATATGATTCCATCATGCAACGTGCCCTCTCATAGCTGGGTTCCACGTTTTGACTGTGAAACTCACCTGAGAAAGCCCCAAACCTGCTTACAACATCTTGCAACCTGCTCAATGTCAACTGTCATGTCATCTCTGTAATTGGTCTTTCCAGGACAGTGATCGACCATTACTTGGCGAACCCTGCTAATCCTACAGAGCACCCTCAACTTCTGCATGCACAAAACAACTACTATATAAAATCCCCGAAGTGATGCAAATGTCTTACCAGCACTTCCTGAGCTTCAGCACACACGAACGGGTGAAACTAAGCAAAAAGGCCCGACCCAACTCGATGAAACCTTCACGGCTCGTTGTTGTTTATTGATTTTATTGGATTCACTGTCTGGTGCATGTTGGGATCACTATGAGGTTGTTCCTCCAAAAGGGCTTGCATGGGCTGGTGCGTGTGCAGGACTGTGGATTATGCATTATCATGTTGGAAGCCTTAGCTAGCAACAAACACCTTTGCTGGATATTCCAAATGTTTTGTTCCTTACTCTGCTACTGGCTGTAATTTTGTAGGTGGTCAAATGCCTGCTTCTGAGTGAAGCACCTTGGGTTGTTCCCACTCTTCGATCTGCATACCAAAGCAAAGGCACAAGTGACCTAAACTTCATCTAGACATATCTAGACATAGCCTCTCAAATCTCAAGGGCCCCTGCTGAGATTCTGGGCAAAATGCGATCTTTCACTGTTCACCACCTGAATGCACAGGACCATGTGTTTTGTAAGATGTGATAGATATACATATATAAATATATATATATATGTATATAATTAATTGTTATTTGAGATCCTTCCAATTCAGCAGGTGGAGATGAAGATGGCCAATTCTGCCCAGTCAGTCGGCGCTAGAACATGCTAGAACCGTCTGGTCATTGGGGCCCTTGATCGGGTCAGTCTGGGGCCTTGGGCGAATGGCGACGCGCATGGCATGGCGCTCCCCGCGCGGACGAGCGGAGGTTCGAAGCGTCACCGACCGGCCGATGCGTTCGGAGTTCGTTTTCGGGTCAATAAAAGGAGAAGAAGAATGCCAGGTATGTCATTCTGAGAAAAGATTTGCCTTGCATTCTTGCAATGCCCCCAATGCTCCCAATCTTTTCTCAAATGCAAGGCAATGTTGGGCCAACAAAAGGAGACCCAGAACAGATTTGGGATCGTGGGTCTGTCATTCTGGTCCAATGCTTCTGAGGCTTTGTCGCACGAATTAGGCCAGTTCTGCTGTGAACAGATCGGATGAGCAGAACTTTGCGATCTCGGTGGGCAGAATCAAGGCGGATCAGTTTGTCTTCAATGAAGAGTTTCTCCTTCCGCACCTGTTGCAATTCAAGCATGAGGTCGTCAAACATGTTGGTGCCTCTTGATGTCTCATGTTTTCCTGGCCCCTTCATTCCAAAATCTTGCACTCCATGTAGAACATTGAACAAAATATGGGAAAGCGTCTTCAACGCGGAAAAGGCTATATAATCTACTGTAATCTACTGCGTATCTCATATTCTCGTTCTCTTGGTGCTGCAAATTCGCTGCAGAGTTCTCCGCATCCGCCGCCGAAACCGAACCTCCTCACCGACCGTCGGGGGAACGCCCCATCCGAAGCAGCTGAGCTGAGCTGCTGCTCTTTCATCTATGCTCGCCCTGAGGACTAACACAGACCCAACGTTCAATGCTGGCTTGGACTTCAAATTCTTTCAGGGTCTGTGCTTTCTTCAGGCATGAAAGAGCTTTTGCGTGACACATCACTTGCGGCGCACTGACCGCGCAACAGAAAAGGACTGCTCTTTGGCAGGATCGGGCGCCACTCATGCCAAGACGGCGCATCGGAAAGTGGAAGCGGTGCACCTGAGAGTGGCGTGGATGTAGAGCATGAATCATGGTGGGCATTGCAGCCTGGTTTGAGATTTCTGCGGGCCTTATTCCCAGGTCCTTCAGCTCAAAGGACTCATTGCAAGAATGTCATCAGAACGTTGCGGCAAATGTGTGGGCGCCACCGTGGCGTGCTTTCCCCGCCAACTTTCGAGCTACTGCCCACCAAAAGTCATGTTTAGTGGCCCCTGCAAATCTCACAAAAAGTGACCAAAAGATACCAAAAGTACTAAGTTCCAAGGGATCAGCAGGTGGTAGGCCGGTGAACCGGATTGCCTTGTTGTGACGTCATTCCACCCTCCTCGATTCCCGGAACGTACTGCTTCTGGGCGCAAAAACCGAGAACCCACTCTTTTGAAGGAGGTGGTTGCAGGTGGCTCTTCACTTCTTCGGCACAGGTTGTGATGATATGTCATGTCTGAAAGCATCTGATAGGAGTATCAAGGCTCAAAATCCCACCTCCAAACTATACACAAAGCACCATGCTCGACACGTTTATTATGCAGCATTCCAGCTGACCCACAAAGCATGGACCGCGCCTTCATTAGCGGAGACCACGGGAGCTGCGGATCTCCTTGATGTCCTCCTGGATCTCCCCTGCCATGGTCTTCAGCAATCCTGAAAGGCGGAGAACATGACAGGTGTGGCGGGGGAGACTGTTTGGGGCGACCATGCCATCACAAAGATTTCCAATCCTCCTCCATTTTGTGCAGATGGTCACAAGTCATGACTTCCTGCCCTATCTAAGCCGTTACCCAAATGCTTTCTATAGGTGTCCTTCAAGTCGTTCCCTTCAAACGAGCCTGGCAAACCAATCTTGATCTGCACCGTGCGTGCATGTGTACAGTAGAACATATAACTACATATACATAGTATAGTTCTCAAAATGCATGGCTTGTAAGAAAATCCGTTTTAACATTCTAACCCACCAGTGGCCCACCGGTGTTGCACCAGAAGAGCATCTCGACCCGCATCCTTGAGTGACCCTTGGAAAGAAAAGAGGGCTTCGTCCGCTCTTAAACAGCATCATGCCTAAGGTGGAAATGTTGACGTGCCTGGAACCCAACAACCTCAACCCAAAAGACACCTCAGCCCTCCAGGTGTCGAGCACTGCATGGGATTGCCCTCCTACATCTCCAGTTGGCACGGTCCTACACCAGTCATGTCTCTGCAGTGCACTTACACCAGTGGGCGAAACCACGGTTTCATGCCCTCTCTTCAAGAAAAACAAAAACATATCGAAGAATGAACCAGCATAACCCGCAAACGCGTGGGTCGATGTTGCGCTGAACCGCCATGGCGGGTCGAGGGTTTTCTCAGGGGTGCCCGTGCCGATCGGTCGGGTGTCGGCGTCCGCTTCTGCCAAGGGGCCCAGCAACCTGTCGTGGTGAGCGGCAAAAGAGGGGAAACACGGGCATTTCGAACAGAAGTGACATTGAACTCCAGTAAATAAAAGTGATTTTGGTGGAAAGCCTGCTTGGCAACGTGGCAATGTGGAAAGCCTTAGCCTGTTTGTTTGCCTCATCCATTACTGTTCATGATCTTGTAGCTGCGCTAAGTGGCGCACTCTATTGATAACTACCATTCCATAACCCTTGTTCGAAAACATTCTGCGAACTCCTAACAGAACCATCAAGAATCATCCGGATAATTTAAACCCTACCATCCATGTTGCTGCGCAAAATCATGCACAACACTATCAGCATGTCTCACCTTTTATGAGCCTTCGAATGGAATGGACGCATTGGAGTGCAATAGCCATAGTAGTCATCACAAAATCTAACTCATCTGCCCTAATCAAAGAAAGGCCACGATGTGGAAGCATCGTTGGTCCAGTCCAGCCCTTCAATCCTTTGGTTTGTTGCTTCCTGTACTTCGTGAGACTCCGCTTACTGGTTTTAGATGGTTTCGAGCCCAAAGCTAGATCTCCTTAGTTGCTGGAAGTAGATTTACATTGCGCAGCACCATAACCATCTAAACTAAGTAGATCCTCTTCTCCCAGTAGTTTCCTGATTTTCCAACGGAAGGCCTGAGTGACTGGATGGTCCAAATGGGCACGTCCTTGGCCGCCAACGACTGGGGAGGCCATCCCGGCCGGATCGACTCGGAGGTTCAGATTCGACGCCCTGCAGTGGCATTCCGCCATGGATCGCCATGGTCTAGAATTCGCGAGTACATATATAGCATCTTACAAATACGGCTCAACAGGTCAAAAGCAAACCTTCCAGAGCTCTTCCAAATGATTCAAGTGGCTGACCAGTAGTGGAGGTGCGAGACTGAGGCATCTGGCTAAAAAACACCAGCCAAAGGGTTTTCGCCAGCTGCTAGAAGCTTCCACAGCCCTCTTTTTCCCAAACCTTGTCATGGCTCTTCATGTTCAATCTTCTTGAGCTACCCAACCACCACAACCCCCAATTTGCGCATTCGACCGGTGCTGAGGCAAAACTGCACCCCCCCAAACAATGCTTTCCTTGCTTCGGTCGGCCGCCACGCTTCGAGCCCGGGGGGTGCGTCCCAACATATATATCCCCCCCAAGCATGGAAGTGGATGCGCCGGCCGCTGGCCCCTGGAAAATCCAATTGTTTGGTCCG